ACTGCTGACCTTTGGGGAGGGGGGGGAGCGGGTACCTGAATTTGACAGGTACCCGCTCTTACTTCCGCAGAGTTTTTTTTTTTTATCTTACCTGTTCCTTTATCCAGCCGCGCGCTGTCTTCCCGGCTTCTGTAGTGTGGGCGCTCGTCGGACAGCCGGATGCCCAGTGCGCATGCGCGAGAAGCGCTGCGCTTTGTGATTGGTCCGGCGGCTTCTGGGATCTGTCATGTGTCCCAGGTACCGCCTTACCATTCACAAAGAGCACTGCTTCTTGCGCATGCGCACTTGGGACCCGGCTGTCACGCACACTACAGAAGCCGGGAAGACAGCGCGCCGCTGGATAGAGGGACAGGTACGGTCCCACTGCAGAGCTGAGCGGCCGGCCCGGTATTCTGACACGGCGGCGGTGGAAATACCGGACCGGCCGCTCTATATTCGCTCCATAAGACGCACTGACATTTCCCCCTGTTTTTGGGGGGAAAAAAAGTGCGTCGTATGGAGCGAAAAATACGGTATTCTCCTGGCGTGCCCACAGATAAGGCTCGGCGTGCCACGGGTTCGCCATCACTGCTATATATCATTCTGCAGCGCTGAACAAAGGAAAAAAATAGTTAACCAAAAAAGTCCATGTACATAAAGTCCATAAAATGATAGCAATAACGATACACAAAGTTCAAGGAGAGGATCCCAGCACCATCTTCAGTGTCAGAAACAATCAGCACACCACCACAATGAGAGCACCAAACTCCTTACCAAACTGTCTTGACCCCCCCCCTATTTATAGATTAGTCAGAAGTGCTTTATTGAGTATCATACCCCAGATCTCCACTTTCACTGTCTTGACTCCAACTGTACACCTCCTTGGACTTCCCAAGATAATAATCTGGACCTGGAATGACCTGCTTTGCCTTTAAATGACTCCCTCCGGATAGGCAGCAATCTGCTCTCAGGCAGACATCAATCACCGACCTCAAAAAGAAGGGACGGTACCTCATAAGAGCACAAACAAGCCATTATAGTGCAGCTTCCAAACAACTTTAATAAAAGGCAAATACAGTCACATAATCTTGCACAACCGGTGACCCTCTAAATATAATTATAATATGCAAACTGTTGTAATTCCTACACCGTTCACCTGATTTGGATGTAAATACCCTCAAATTAAAGCTGACAGTCTGCAGTTAAAGCACATCTTGTTCGTTTCATTTCAAATCCATTGTGGTGGTGTATAGAGCCAAAAATGTTAGAATTGTGGCGATGTCCCAATATTTATGGACCTGACTGTATGTTATGTGGAGTCAGAGTGGCCAGGAGGAACTGATATTATTTCTTACTGATACGCTGGCTAAGTTTGGTAAGCTGCATGGTCTGTGAGGTGGCCGAGCGTGGATCCACTGTTCACTGGTGGTGTATTTATTTATGAGATGAAGTGAGCACATGAGAGAACAATATTGATGAATTAAGGATATTAAACCATATTATATCTTTTTGGAGGGTTCGTCTTTTGGGAAGCAGGGAAGGAAGGTTTATTTAGTGGAAGAATCCAGGAGGCGGAATGTATGATAAGCAGTTTTCAAGTAATTAGAGGGTAAGAGTAAGGATAACAGATATTTAGACGTGGACATGTGGTGGAGTTGAGCACATTTTTACACAGATTTTTGTAAGTGTGATTCATAGTCACAAGTGTGTATATATTGAGGATAATGCACTGTGTGAGGTTTATCTTTTTTTGAGGAGAATGGAGTAGAAAACACGCCTGTGAAGATATTGAATGAAGACAGTGGAATAGGACATCACTTTGGGGTTATTTGAAATAGGCACATTGTGAAATACACTCACAGACAAAATCCAAATCACTCTTATCATTGGGACACCTAGGAGAGTTTACAAAAATATATGTTTGAACTTTTATGGAGGTATTGCTCTACCCCCTGGAAAGCATTGTTCTCAAGTTATTTATTGCTATATACAGTGAATGAAATAAGTATTTGCTCCCCTGCTGATTTTGAATGTTTGCCCACTCACAAAGAAATGATCAGTCTAAAAATCGAATGGTAGGTGTATTGTAACACTGAGAGACAGAATAGCAACAAGAAATTCAAAAGAAATGCCTGTCTAACAAATGATGCACTGAATTGCATGTTCATGAGGGAAATAAGTATTTGATCCCCTATCATTCAGCAGGATTTCTGGCTACCAGGTGTCTTTCATACAGGTAGCAAGCTGAGATTTGAAGCAGTCTCTTAAAGGGAGTGCTGCTAATCTCATTTTGTTACCTGCATAAAAGACATGCATTTCTTTTGAATTTTTTGTTGCTATTCTGTCTCTCAGTGTTACAATACACCTACCATTGATTTTTAGACTGATCATTTCTTTGTGAGTGGGCAAACATTCAAAATCAGCAGGGGATCAAATACTTATTTCCTTCACTGTATGATCCAGTAGTTCTGTTTTCTTAAACTGAAACCCAAACCTTCTAATAGCTTTATGTTTTGAATGGAGTAAAGAAGGGGCTGGAACTCTTGTCAGCTTTTTATTACAGTCTGTGTCACATTTAGGCTAGGTTCACATAAATGCAGGGGCGGGGGGTGCATGTAAAGCAGCCCATAGACAATACAATTTTCTCTCTTTCCACCACAGGTGGAAGGAAAGAAAATTGCTTGATTCCATCATCAACACAGTGTTGATGGGGGAATCCCTTCCCGCATCACTGTTGTGTTCTGCTGGTGGTGAGCCTTTTCGGCTGGCAGAATACAATGTTTACTGCTGGTGGCTATACTGTAGTTGCTGGCAGTTATCGCATGTAAAAAAATCCAACGGTGGTTGTAGTGAATTCGATCGATGGATCGACTTCAGTAAAATCAGCCTGCTCATAGATGGAATGAATCTCGATCCATCTATGACCGGCCTTAGTCACATGCATTCCCACAGCCATACACATATAGTGGTGCTGTAAAGAAAATGTATTTCTTAATGGCACCCCCACCCACTGAAAAATGCGGTGCGGTTTACCTTCATATGGAAATTGCATGGTGCAAAAGCACCATACAATTTCTGTGCAACCACGTTTCAAAAAAGTTGCAGAGGCCTTTTCCCTGCAGAAATCACAGGCACAGCAGTTTAATAAATTGAATGCGCTGCTGTTCCTGTGCAAACATGGCATGGAAAGCCACATAGATATGGAACAGTCCTTAAGGAGATTTCCTCTCACATGAGTTCTGGTTATTGGAGGGCATGTGACACGAAATGATTAGAAAATTCTGCAATAGGCCATAGAGACATCAAAAACATCCTTTAGTAGAGTGAATAGCAGTAGAACCTCTTTTAGGCTTTTTATTACTGTCTTTATCTTCCTTTCCTAGTGACCCCATTCTTCTAGTGTCACAGGGATAAAAAGTAAGTAGAAACACTGGAATAAAAAGCCTGACAAATGGTCTAACCTATTCCTCCCTCTGTTCAAAGGATAAAACAAAAATTGGTGTTTGTTTTAAGGTAGGAAACACTCTTACAAAGACATGTAGATAGTGATGTGTCATCCATATGCTGCGAGATATGGATCTTTGTTTTGTTGCAGTTTTAAGAACCCCTCCCTCCTAGATTGTAAGCTCGCAGGATCAGGGCCCCTCCTATCCCTCTTGTATTGAACTGTATTGTTGCTGTATTGTCTCCCGTTATATTGTAAAGTGCTGAGCAAACTGTTGGCGCTATATAAATCCTGTATAATAATAAATAAGGACCCCTCTTCTGTATAACAGGGGAAGAAAATCTGATATATCTCCAGTCATCTGCAGGGCTGACTACCTACATGGAAGAAAAATATATTTGAAATATATTTTAAAAATATTCTTCCCAAATATATTGACATATATTTGAAATGCTACAATTTTGGCCATATTCCATATATTTCAAAATATATTTAAATAAAAAAATAATATATATGTTTAAAAATAATTTTCATATATTTTGTAATGTATAAAAAACGCATTTCAACATACAGTATATGTGTGTGTATGTGTGTGTGTATATATATTTATTTATTGAAATATATTTTTAAATATATTGAATATGGATAAAATTGTAGCTCTGGGATCCCTCCTGCACTTACCTTGTCCTGCGCTCCCGTGATGTCCCCCCTGCAGCGTCCCCGACCATCTCCTCCGGCCGATGCCGGCATCCGTCTTCCAGGTTCCGTTCCCTGCGAGCGTCGGGTACCGGCAGAAAATTCAAAAATTTTAAAAGTGACATTCACTAAATACACTAAAATCACATAGTAAAACACAACTGTATCAAACCATTTCACATACATTCTGTCCCGAGTGCTTTGTCCTGTGCCCTGCCTGCATTTTTACTGTTCTTTCTGCCTGGAAACTGAGAAATGTCCATGGTGTCCAAAAAGTGTCCCTTTAGGTCAAAAGCTTTTTTAGACCAACTAGAGAACAGCGATAGTAAATTAGAACCACTTGCAGAATTGAGTGATAATGATTCGTGGGGAAATTCGTCATCAGACACTGAAAAACGATTCTGCGACTAATCTCAGTGATGTGTGAGCTTGGCGCTATATTTCAAATTTCAGTGTTTTTGGTTTGATTACATTATTGCATTAAATTTATTATTATATTATTTTTTATGTTATATTATAATTTATGATTTCGTGTTTCAAATTTTATCATACCCGAGATGTTTACTAGACTTGTTCGGACAGATTTCAGTGAGTTATTCCTAAGAATTACAGGCCTACAAAAAAAAAATGACATATTTCCATTGAAAACAATGTACCGCTTTGAGCACAGAAATACTGGCCTAATCAGACCGCTAGGGAGGTTAATTCACTTCAAGCTGTTGTTGGATACCTGTACAAGCCCATAGAAATGCAAAACCCTCTTGAAGCAAGTTAGAAGGAGGTCATCGACGTAAGCCTGAAGCTCATTGACCTAGGCTTTACTGGCTGTTGTAAAATATCTCTGCCTTGTGTACTAACATCCTTGCTCTTCTTTCCTCAGGAATTACTCATCATTGATGAAGACAGAAAACATGTCTTCCAATCAGGTCAGTAAACTCAGGAATAACTCTTCAATCTCGTTGTGATTTGCTGATTTACTAGCTGATCAGTAATATGAAAGTGCAAAGGTTAAAGCAGTTTTTCAGTCGAAGGTGCAAAAATTAAATGTTAGCTGACTTTTAATAAACTGCCACTCGCCTGTCCCACGAACCAGCTTCATCCTCACCTGAGCTGGTTTCTTCTAAGGTCTTCAGTCCCCAGCGCCAGCATCATGGGCAGCTGGTTGTGACTGCTTGCGGCTTCACAGCCAGCTTACCATTGCACATGCACGAGCCATGCTGCGCCTTGTGTGTGGTCCTGCAGTCTTCTGGGACCTGTGATGTGTTTCAGAGGAATGCAAGCAGGAAGAAGGAGAACTTCGGCTCAAATTACCTAGTATATCCAAGCAGAAGTGGGAGCGGGTTACTGTCAAAACCAGGTAACCCCCTCACAAAAATAAAATTGTCAAACATGGCAGTGGAGGAGGAGAAACAGCAGAATGCCAGAGGAGGGGGTGAAGGAGGAGAAACAGCAGAATGCAGAGGAGGGGGTGGAGGAGGAGAAACTGAGAGGAGGAGAAAAACAGCAGAATGGCAGAGGAGGGGGTGGAGGAGGAGAAACTGCAGAATGGCAGAGGAGGGGGTGGTGGAGGGGAAACAGCAGAATGGCAGAGGAGGGGGTGGAGGAGGAGAAACAGCAGAATGGCAGAGGAAGGGGTGGGGGAGAAGAAACAGGGGAGGAGGGGGTGAGGGAGAAGAAACAGCAGAATGGCAGAGGAGGGAGGGGCAGAATGGCAGAGGAGGGGGTGAGGGAGAAGAAACAGCAGAATGGCAGAGGAGGGGGTGAGGAGAAAACAGCAGAATGGCAGAGGAGGGGGTGAGGGAGGAGAAACAGCAGAATGGCAGAGGAGGGGGTGGAGGAGGAGAAACTGCAGAATGGCAGAGGAGGGGGTGGAGGAGGAGAAACAGCAGAAGGCAGAGGAGGGGGTGAGGAGGAGGCAGAATGGCAAGGAGGGGGAGAAAAACAGCAGAATGGCAGAGGATGGGGTGGGGGAGAAGAAACAGCAGAATGGCAGAGGAGGGGGTGGGGGAGAAGAAACAGCAGAATGGCAGAGGAGGGGGTGGGGGGAGAAAACAGCAGAATGGCAGAGGAGGGGATGGAGGAGAAGAAACAGCAGAATGTCCCCTTTGGGTGAAGTTCCACTTTAGTGTGAATTGCCAATCCTTTAAGCAGTTTTAAAGGCTCAAGGTTTCTCACCCTCATGCATTCTATGCAAGAAGCTAAAAAACCTTCTGTGTGCAGCAGTGCCCCCCCGCCCCCTCAATACTTACCTGAGCCCTATCTCAATCCAGCGATGTGCACAACAGCCTCGGCAGTCCCAGGTCTCTACCTCCTCATTGGCTGAGACAGCAAGTGGGAGCCATTGTCAATCACAGCCAGTCAGCCAATGAGAGAGGGGGCGGAGCCAAGCCACAGTTCCGTGTGAATGGACACACAGAGCAGCGGGTGCCCCCATAGCAAGCTGCTTGCTATGGGGGCACCCGATAGAAAGGAGTAGTCAGAAGAGCCTGCAGGGGACCCAAAAAGAGGATTGGAGAATCCCCAAACATTAAGCTTCAGTGTTAATAGCATGCATTGGGCAGGGCTAAGCTCTCCAGTTCCAAAAAAATGACACAAGGAATCTGTTTACAATTGCCAATATGCCCTACTAAGTTGGAAGAGTAAAAATTATCAATATGGTATGTAATATCAATAGGGAGAGAGAAACTAGCAGCGACATCAGCACCGTGCTGCACATAGCCTGTAATGAATGCAGGGCCCCACCCGCTACAGGCTTCTTGTAGAAAACTAAAGAAGGGAGCGGATACAAGACCAATCAGAGGAGAGAGAGCAGCAGTAAGCAGTCTTTATTACAGAAAGTCTCACACTGGATTACTGCACTGATCTAAAACAAATACACAAAGCACACCAAGACTCAAGGAAGAATACACATGACTGTTGTATTTAGACAATACTTGCTGATGTTAGAGTTCAGTGGTAAATGTAATTGTTCTGTGATCACACTCTAGTTCTATGTTATCACTCATTTCTGTACTTTATCTTCCGGCAGGATGGCAATGACTCCGACGAGTTCATGTAGCATGGTCTTGTAGCGATGGGGACCCTTTGTTTCGATGCTAAAATAACGGGAGCCTCTCCGTTAAATCTCCATCCAGCATTTACTTACAGCTCCAGCCTGACTCATCAGCGGTGGCTTACATGGGATAGCGGGAACATCCTCCCACCCTGAAATGGATTATGTCTGCTCCTCTAAACCTGTTCCGTTACCTGGACGAGGAGATGGAGGATTGGGAGGATTACCCCCGTTTGTGGAATAACACTGAGTTGGCCTGCAGGTTCCTTCAGTGCCTGAATGTTGCTCAAATCACAAACCCATCTGCACGCTAAGGAATGGCTGCTGTATAAGCTAGACACGCCGCTCCCCGTCACCACTCCCACACTTAGCTGGGCTGTTACACTTTTAGCTGACAACCCTGAAGATCATGGAGAAACAAGGAAATATTTTTATAGCCGTCGATTGAATGCACATTTTTATTTTTTATTATTTCGATCACTGGGGAAACATCCCTGAAATTTGGTGACAATGACTTGCCTTTCTCTTGCTCCATGCCATGTTTGGGTGCAAGCAGTAAGCAAGATGGGAATTAAAGTATATGGAATATCTGCACTTTGTCTTTTTTTTATTTTATGTAACCAAATCCTAAGAAATCTTCTCTTAAAGAGGAGCTTATGGGCAAAAGAAAAAATGTCAAACCTGATGCAATTGCAATGTAACTAGTATTAACACAGCACTTTGCACCCATAACACAGTTTTATATTATATTATTTTTAAAAGCAAACTTACTGGCAGGATCAACAGCCAATAAAACTTTTATTGGCTGTTGATCCTGCCAGTAAGTTTGCTTTTTCGTCTTCCTTTTACCCTTTCACTACCAATGCCTGTGAATTGAATTTTAGAGCAAACAAACGCAATAAATTACCCACATTTTATAAAATCTAAAAGATGAGGTTGTGCCAAGTAAATAAATGGCCAACATGTCAAACCTTAAATTTGTGTGCGCCTATGAAATGGTGACAAATCCTATATTTTCTATAGGTGGTGCTTCAGATCCCCTATAGGTCATCAGTGTAATGTTACAGAGGAGATCTTGTGCTAGAACTATTGCTCTCAACTCCAGTGTGCATGGCGATATGTAACACGTGTATCTCAATCAGCGTTTTCATGTGTAGGCATCCTGACGTGTGTATTTATGCTCGTGTGTGTGTGTGTGTGTGTGTGTGGGGGGGGGGGTGCATGGCGATATGTAACACGTGTATCTCAATCAGCGTTTTCATGTGTAGGCATCCTGACGTGTGTATTTATGCTCGTGTGTGTGTGTGTGTGTGGGGGGGGGGGGGTGCAAATATGTAAAGGTGTCTTCAGCGTTTTTGTGTAGGGACGTGTGTATTTTATGGGGTGTGTGTGTGTGGGGGGGCTCAAATGTGTCTTTTTTTTTGGGGGGGGGGGGGGATGTTATGTGTTAGGTGTAACTTTATTTTTTTGCAATAAAATTTCTTTCATCACTTAGGGGACACAAAGTCCCGTAGGTGATGATTTTTAGGTGACAGGTTCTCGTTATTGAGACATACAGGGTCTGAAAGATCGTGCACCTCTCTTGGCCTCTATTCAGTGTATTGCAATGAAGATGCAGGACTTTTCAAAATGCGCCTCACCTGCAGACCAGTGGTGTAAAGAGTCCCATAGGATTTAGGGGTTTGCATTTTGTTGCACTTTTATCAAGGTAAAAATGCATCAGTGTGAAAGCCACCTTAGACTTGTTAACCCTTTCGCTGCCAGGTCCGTACATCGTATGGGATTGTCTATAAAACTGACAGGCAGACTCCTGCCTGTCAAGTGGAAGCAGCTGCGTGGCTGTGCTGCCGCCTGACATCTTCCACAGCCCATTTTTTTGTTGTTCACGTGCGTGTTCGCAGACACATACAAGGTGTGTTCATGAACCCGCACTCACCCACATATCATATTAGGACACAACAGATGTGCCCATGCAGCTGCATGCCCCAGTAGAAATGAATGGGCACTGGCATGTGCTGGTCAAATACTTCCCTGAGCAGGAGATGCTGTGTGAATAGACCCTAATTCAGGTATTTACTTCATACATTTGATGACGTACGAATGAATACTGAGCAGCATTAAACTGTATCTTTTATATCTGCCTGGAGTTCAGCTTTATCGGGTAGCAATTTACCTGCTGTGTTGACTCAACAAAGGCGCAGCTGTTAGATATACTTGGGTGTAGTTCTCACACTGGTCACTGGAGGTCCTTCTATGCCTAGCTTCTACAATATAGATCTGCAGTAAACAGATTTGTTCCGCATTGGCCTGATGTTTTTTTCTTCTACTTCATGTTGTTTTGTTTTATAGTGATTTTGAAATGTAAAGTTTATTAACCGCTTCAAGACCAGGCCTATTCTTACATGAAAAATCTGCATTTTTTTAAACTAGAAAATTACTTAAAACCCCCCGAACATTATATATATTTTTTTAAAGCAGAGGGTCCTAGAGAATAAAATGGTGGGTTTCTAAAATATTAGTTTAGCGCTGCACTAATATTTTAGAAATTGCGATTCTGGGACTGTTACCTATACCCTGAGTGCTAGCTGCTTTTAACTCATTTGGATATATATAATTTTTATATCATATAATGCATTTAGCGCTCTCTCTATTATCTTTTTTACATACTTTGAAAATGGTGGGTTTTGCCATTTCTATGTCACACTGTATTTGCACATCGGTTTTTCAAAAAGCAATTTATGTTTTTGGAAAAAATACACTTTCATTTTAATACAGAAAGCCCAATTGTTTGGTAAAATATATAATATGATGTTACACTAAGTAAATAGATGCTAAGCATGTCACACTTTAAAAATGCACACGCCTGTGCAACAGCGCTAAAACTACGTACCTTTTATTATCCATAGGCGACACCTTAAAAAAGCCTTTACAAGTTACCACTTTCGATTTACACAGGAGGTCTGGTTTTAGAAGTATTGCTATCGATCTGACGTTCACAGTGATACCTCATGTGTGTTTACGATCCATCACGTAGGGGCGCTTTAAAAATGTTTTCTTTTTTTTGTACATTGTCCCTTTTAATGTTTTCTTTTGGATCACTTTTAATGTAAATCCCTTGTGATAGCAATAGACATGTGACAGGTACTCTATTAGACCCCAGAGCTCTCCGCTGCCCTTAAAGTGTTACTAAACCCACAACAGTAAAATCAGTCTGTATATGCAGTAAAGCATGCTTGTTATACTCACTGTGGAACCTAAGAGGGTTAATCCTCTGAATTGTGTAAAAAGGCTGTTTGATCCTGTCTTCTCTGATCCCCCTTCTTCCAGTGTCCTCTTATCTCCTGATAAGACATATCATGTGGAGACACTCTGCACATGCTCAGTTTGGTATGTATTGTTAGAGAGTTTTTTTTTTTCTCTTGGGAGAGTGAATGTGTTCAGCACAGAGGGCCAATCAGCGCTGCCCAGAGGTTAGGGATTCTGCATCCTCCTAGAGCAGAAAGAAAACTCCTCCAACAAGCTTTAACCAGTGCTCTGCTGTACACTGATAGAAGTCACAAGACTGCTGTAACTGCTGATGAGAAAAGTTATTTAGCAGTTTATATTTACTAAAATAATTGCATTTCCATGTTCTGTGGGAGACTGGATATAGTGAATGCAGGGACCTGAGAGACCAGATATAGAGGATGCAGGGTCCTGGGAGACCAGATATAGTGAATGCAGGGTCCTGGGAGACCAGATATAGAGGATGCAGGGTCCTGGGAGACCAGATATAGAGGATGCAGGGTCCTGGGAGACCAGATATAGAGGATGCAGGGTCCTGGGGAGACCAGATATAGTGAATGCAGGGTTTGGGGAGATCAGATATAGTGATTGCAGGGACCTGGGAGACCAGATATAGTGAATGCAGAGTCCGGGGAGACCAGATATAGTGAATGCAGGGACCTGGGAGACCAGATATAGTGAATGCATGGTCCTGGGAAACCAGATATAGTGAATGCAGGGTCCGGGGGAGAGCGGATATAGTGAATGCAGTGTTCGGGGAGACCAGATATAGTGAATGCAGGGTCCTGGGGAAACCAGATATAGTGAATGCAGGGTCCGGGGATACCAGATATAGTGAATGCAGGGTCCGGGGAGACCAGATATAGTGAATGCAGGGTCCTGGGGAAACCAGATATAGTGAATGCAGGGTCCGGGGAGACCAGATATAGTGAATGCAGGATCCAGGATTTAGTATACTTTAACAGCATCTTTTCACACCAAGATCGGTGTGATCTGTTGCTTTCCAAACCCAAAAATGGCTTTGTTGACATCCGGCGGAAGTGACAGAATACTTGTCGCTTCCGATTTATCAGACCATAGAGAGGAGGATCGAGCCAGTAATTGCCGGCTGCACACTTGTGTTCTCCGCTAGGTAGGGGGTCCAAGAAGGCCGTGGACTGCAGTGGGAAGGGGGAAACATCCCCACCCACTGCATGTAAAAGCTATCCAGTGGCTAATAGAAAATGGCTGCAGGCATCATTGTGGTGTAACCACTCAGGTGGCGTACGGCATTAAGTGGTTAAAAAAAATATGCAGGAAATATATAATATATTTCCCCCCCCCAAAATGTGCATTTATTTTTTAAAGGTGAACCTGTCCTTTTAAACTTTCTTGTTACTTTCGCAGCCCTACTCCATAGACGTCATGGTTTCCCTACACCACTAATGATGGTAGACAAGCCTCAAGCAGCTGCATGCAAATTTGAATAAATAATTTGATGGTATTAAATTGTAATCCAGCCATTATGGATGTACCTTTTGGCCCAGAGGCCTAAAGAAAACCAAAGAGCATGGTTCTAACCACTGTCTTAAAGGTAGCAATAAAATCTTTATATTTTGCATTTGTGACAGAAGTGACTTATGCAGCAAATACATACTGTTTTAAAGTGTATTGAAACTAAAATGTAATATATAAGTTTACTAGTCCTTAGATGTGGTGGCTTTCACTTTTCAGGCTACAACAAGCGTTTTACACCAAGTACAAAAATTAGCTGTTTATTAAATGCATTGCCATTGTTGCTTCCTGTGAGACAAAAATAGAACATGAAGGACCTTCTCTCTATTGTGTAAATTACTAGTCCCTGTAAGCCATAATGAGGCTGCACAAAGGCAGACTTGTTAGAGGTCCGTCCTGTATGACAACCATGGGTTTCCTCTTAGATGCAATAGAGCAGGGGTATTGAATTTAAATTTCAAGGAGATCCGGTCACAAAAAATTTTCTTCTGGCCGAGGTCCGAAATAGGGTGTGCCCATCGGAGTGCAACTTTACATCATGTATTCCCATCACATCAGGTGTGCTCATCTGAGTGCTCCTTTACATCAGTTTTCCCCATCAGAGTGCCCCTTTACATCACATGTGCCAATCAGACTGCTCCTTTCCACAGTATGTGCCCTATCAGAGTGTCTCTTTCCACAGTATGTGCCCATCAGAGTGTCCCTTTCCACAGTATGTGCCATCAGAGTATCCCTTTCCACAGTATGTGCCCATTTGTGACCCCTTAACGTGCGCTCTGGTGGGGCACATTCTATGTTGTACCCATCAGTGTGGACCTTAAAATTAAATGTGCCCAACAGCATGACTCCTTAACAATAAATGTGCCCATTCCGAGTGCCCCTTAATATAAATGTGCCCATCATAGTGCTCCTTAATATAAATATGCCCATCATAGTGCTCCTTAATATAAATGTGCCCCTGTAAGACCACACCCTACCTTGAGGGCAGACAGGAGCTGTGCCGGGATCCTTGCTGAAGGACCAGCTGCGCGCTCGTGTACAGGCAGGCAGCCGGAGTCGGAGAGACGGTGAGCTGCAAGGGGCTGATGGGCACGTTATGTTAAGGGGCGCTCTGGTGGGCACATTCTATGTTGTACCCATCAGAGTGGACCTTAAAATTAAATGTGCCCAACAGCATGCCCTTTAACATTAAATGTGCCCATCAGCGTGCCCCTTAATATAAATGTGCCCATCATAGTGCCCCTTAATATAAATGTGCCCATCATAGTGCTCCTTAATATAAATGTGCCCATCAGAGTGCCCCTTAATATAAATGTGCCCATCATGGTGCCCCTTAATTTAAATGTGCCCATCAGCGTGCCCCTTAATATAAATGTGCCCATCATAGTGCCCCTTAATATAAATGTGCCCATCATAGTGCTCCTTAATATAAATGTGCCCATCAGTGTGCCCCTTAACATTCAATGTGCCCATCTGAGTGCCCCTGTTAGAACACACCCTACCTTGAGGGCAGACAGGAGCTGTGCCGGGATCCTTGCTGAAGGACCAGCTGCACGCTCGTGTACAAGCAGGCAGCTGAGTCGGAGAGACGGTGAGCTGCAAGGGGCAGGGGACACACGTGATGTCATCGGTTGCCCATCAGAGTACCCCTTAACATACAGTTGCAAGAAAAAGTATGTGAACCCCTTGGGATTACGTGGAGTTTTGCATGAATTGGGCATAAAATGTGCTCTGAATGTCATCTAAGTCACAACAATAGAAGAACACAGTCTGCTGAACATAATACTACACAAACATTAGATGTTGCCATGGTTTAATTGCACATAACATGTAAACATTCACAGTGCAGGAAGGAAAAAGTATGTTAACCTTTGGACTTAATACCTGGTTGACCCTCCTTTGGCAGTAATATCCTCAGCCAAACGTTTCCTGTAGTTGCAGATCAGACCTGCACAACGATCTGGAGTAATTTTGGACCACTCCTCTTCACAAAACTGTTTCAGTGTAGCAATATTCTTGGGATGTCTGGTGTGAATCGCTCTCTTAAGGTCATGCCACAGCATTTCAATCGGGTTGAGGTCAGGACTCTGACTGGGCCACTCCAGAAGGCGTATTCTGTGCTGTTGCAGCCATTGTTTTGTTGAATTACTTGTATGCTTTGGGTCATTGCCCTGTTGCATCACTCATCCTCTGCGGAGCTTCAGTTGGCGGACAGATGGTCGTACGTTTTCCTGCAAAATGTCTTGATAAACTCTGGAATTAATTTTCCCATCAATGACAACAATCCGTCCAGGCCCTGAGGCAGCAAAGCAGCCCAAAACCATGATGCTCCCTCCGCCATGTTTTACAGTGGGGATGAGGTTTTGATGTTGGTGTGTGCTGTGCCTTTTTTTTCTCCACACGTAGTGTTGTGTGTTCTTCCCAAACAACTCAATCTTGGTTTCATCTGTCCACAGTATATTTTGCCAGTAGTGCTGTGGAACATCCAGGTGCTCTTTTGCAAACTTCAAACGTGCTGGAATATTCTTTTTGGACAGCAATGGCTTCCTCCGTGGTGTCCTCCCATGTACTCCATTCTTGTTTAATGTTTTCCTTATTGTAGATGTGTCAACAAAAATGTTAGCATGTGCCAGAGATTTCTGTAGGTCTTTAGCTGACACTCTGGGATTCTTCTTTACCTCATGCAGCATTCTGCGCTGTGCTCTTGCAGTCATTTTTACAGGAAGACCACGCCTAGGGAGAGTAGCAACAGTGCTAAACTTTCTCCATTTGTAGACAGTCTGTCTTACCGTGGACACATGAACATCAAGGCTTTTGGAGATACTTTTGTAACCCTTTCCAGCTTCATGCAAGTCAACAATTCTTCATCGTAGGTCTTCTGAGAGCTCTTTTCTGCGAGGCATGGTTCGCATCAGACAGTGCTTCTTGAAACGAGTAAACCCAAAACAGGTGTGTGTTTTTTAAGGGCAGGACAGCTGTCAGCAACACATCCAATATTATCACACTGATTGGAGTCAAGGTTGGCTCACTCCTGGCTCCAATTAGCTCTGGGAGAAGCCATTAAGCTAGGGCCTCACATACTTTTTCCTCCCTGCACTGTGAATGTTTACATGTTATGTGCAATTAAACCATGGCAACATCTAATGTTTGTGTAATATTATGTTCAGCAGACTGTGTTCTTCTATTGTTGTGACTTAGATGACGTTCAGAGCACATTTTATGCCCAATTCATACAAAACTCCACGTAATCCCAAGGGGTTCACATACTTTTTCTTGCAACTGTAAATGTGCCCATCATAGTGCTCCTTAATATAAATGTGCCCATCATGGTGCACCTTAATATAATTGTGCCCATCAGAGTGCCCCTTAATATATATGTCCTGCCATAGTGCTCCTTAATATAAATGTGCTCATCAGAGTGCCCCTTAATATAAATGTGCCCATCAGTGTGCCCCTTAACATTCAATGTGCCCATCTGAGTGCCCCTGTTAGAACACACCCTACCTTGAGGGCAGACAGGAGCTGTGCCGGGATCCTTGCTGAAGGACCAGCTGCACGCTCGTGTACAAGCAGGCAGCCGAGTCGCAGAGACGGTGAGCTGCAAGGGGCGGGGCACACACGTGATGTCATCGGTTGCCATGACGATCGCCCTACTGAGCGGCTGATCTGTCATTTCGGGCTGGCGGTCCAGAAGGGAGTGCTGCTCGGGCCGTTCTTGTGTATTAGTCTGCCATTTAGTGACCGCTGCAATAAAGAAGTAATTATAGAAAGGAAGTGTGTGTGTGTATGTGTATATATATATATATATATATAGATATAGTCTCACAGGTTGAAAATGACTGAAGAAAAAAAAAACCCATTAGACAAGACTAATGCAGCCACCACAACAAAGGACTGATAAGCTGCAATGTATTACGTTTTTGAATTTATATATGCTGTAAGACTCTTATGCTGTATAGAGGGGTTTTGGTTCCTTTTAGCCCACTTCACCACCACCTGTCTGTTTATACTTTTTACCCTTTAGGTAAAGTTCCAAGGAACCTGGCCATGCAGCACTGAGATCATGGAGCCAAAGTGCTAGCTCCTCTTCAATCTGTAATGTAAGCTCCTGCATTTCTAGCATTTCCTTCATAAACTGTGCAAATTGGTAACATATACTTTTGAGACCATCGTTAACTCACTCAAAAAACAGCAACTTAATGAAGCCAGCTCCTGGCTTGTAGGCACATTACTCCACATATCCCGCTATTTCTCCAGTGTATCCGCCCTGCCACTCCAAACATGAACTTGTTTTCTTGCCCTGGCATTGTAACAACACGTAATGCAATGCTAGCAATGACTGGAGAACAGATGATATTAATCACTGGTAAATATTTGCTAATGCGGGCTGTTCTTGTTTAATGGTTCCAGTGATTGGCCGCGTTGCTGCTTTAATCCAAGCAATTCAGAGGTGATCTGGCAGGAAGGAGAGTGATGAGTACCAATTGGAAGACATGGCACTCCCGGTAGTGAATGTAGTATAGAAGCGGGATCCTGAAACACAGGGCTCTGAACACGGTTTCGTTTTCAGCCAGAGCTTTAAAGGAAAAATCATACTGAGCAGAAAAAACTCATCACTGTGACCTATGCATACACTCACCAGCCACTTTATTAGGTACACCCGGTCAATTGCTTGGTAAGACAAATTGCTTATCAGCCAATCACATTGCAGCAACTGCATTTAGGCATGAAGACGACTTGGTGAAGTTCAAATCAAGCATCAGAATGGGGAAGAAAGGGGCTTTAAGTGATTTTGAACATGGCAAGGTTGTTGGTGCCAGATGGGCTGGTCTGAGTATTTCAAAAACTGCTGATCTACTGCGATTTTCACGCACAACCATCTCTAAGGTTTACAGAGAATGGTCCGAAAATGAGAAAATATCCAGTGAGCGGCAGTTGTGTGAATGAAAATGCCCTCTTCATGTCAGAGGAGAATGGGCAGACAGGTTGCTGCGACATTCAGATGGTATGGTCAGATTTGGTGTAAACAATATGAAAGCATGGATTCATCCTGCCTTGTATCAATGGTTCAGGCTGGCAGTGGTGGTGTAATGGTGTGGGGGATATTTTCTTGAAACTAGCAAGGTGTATCTAATTAAGTGGCTGGTAAGTGTATGTTCTAATGATCTCAACAAGCTTTGCTGTTTTTGTAGTTGACATAAGCTATTTCAGCTGATCACATTTTTGGAATAGATGGAATTGGCCTCCTTTACCATAATTAAATGATTGGTCTCATTGCTGTGATAAGATACATTTCATCCCTATGTCAATCTAGACCTGCCGAAACTTAGATTATATTATATTTGCAAGGCTTTGAAATTTTTACAAATTACTTTATACTTCCTGTAAATCCACTGTCCCCCAAAGGGGCTCACAATTTAGTCTCTCTACCACATAGAAGAACCAGCTAGTTTCCTGTCCCCCAAAAGAACTCAATCTAATCTCCCTACCGCATAGGACCAACTAGTTTTCTCTAGTTTTCCATGAAGGAGCTCACAATTTAATGTCCTACCATATAGAAGGACCAGCTAGTTTCCTGTTCCCCAACAGAGCTCACATTCCAATATCCCTACCACATAGGATCAGCTAGTTTCCTTTCCCCTGAAGGAGCTCACGATCCATTATCCCTACCACATAGGATTAGCTAGTTTCCTGTCCTCCTAAGGAGCTAACAATCTAATGTTCCTACCACACAGAAGGACCATCTAGTTTCCTGTCACCTGAAGGAGCTTGCAGTCAAATGTTCCTACCACAAAGAATGACCAGCTAGTTTCCTGTCCCCCAAAAGAACTCTAATCTCCCTAACACATAGGGCAGGGGTTAAAATTTCAAGTCCAGACCTACTAGCCGGTCACAAAACTTACTTTCCACCAGTTGCCCCACCCAACCTTGCCCAGGTCCGTACAGGGGAGGGGGGATATACATTACTGTATACATGTCATATCACTATAATGGAGTACAGGGGAGCTGGGATATACATTACTGTGTACATGTCATATCACTATATTGGAGTACAGGGGAGCTGGCATATACATTACTATGTACATGTCATATCACTATAATGGAGTACAGGGGACCTGGGATATACATTACTGTATACATGTCATATCACTATAATGGAGTACAGGGGACCTGGGATATACATTACTGTATACATGTCATATCATTATAATGGAGTACAGGGGAGCTGGGATATACATTACTGTATACATGTCATATCACTATAATGGAGTACAGGGGAGCTGGGATATACATTACTGTATACATGTCCTATCACTATAATGGAGTACAGGGGAGGGGGATATACATTACTGTGTACATGTCATATCACTATAATGGAGTACAGGGGAGCTGGGATATACATTACTGTATACATGTCATATCACTATAATGGAGTACAGGGGAGCCGGGATATACATTACTGTATACATGTCCTATCACTATAATGGAGTACAGGGGAGGGGGGATATACATTACTGTATACATGTCATATCACTATAATGGAGTACAGGGGACCTGGGATATACATTACTGTATACATGTCATATCATTATAATGGAGTACAGGGGAGGGGGGATATACATTACTGTATACATGTCCTATCACTATAATGGAGTACAGGGGAGGGGGATATACATTACTGTATACATGTCATATCATTATAATATGGAGTACAGGGGAGGGGGGATATACATTACTGTATACATGTCCTATCACTATAATGGAGTACAGGGGAGGGGGGATATACATTACTGTATACATGTCCTATCACTATAATGGAGTACAGGGGAGGGGGATATACATTACTGTATACATGTCATATCACTATAATGGAGTACAGGGGAGCTGGGATATACATTACTGAGGAGGGTGTCTCCTATCAGCGGAGGAGAGCGGTCCCCTCGGTGGCGGTGCCGCAGAAGCCAGAAACCGGAAGTTGTAAACCGGAACTCGGCTTCACAATGAGGCTTGGAGCGCAGGTGCAGTAGCTCCATGCTTCATCTGTGCTCGCCGCTCGCCACAGAGGAATTTCTCCTTGCATTTGGCGAGCGGGCGAGCAGCTTTTTCAAGCCCTAACATAGGGCCAGGTAATTTCCTAGCCCCGGAAGTAGCTCACACTCTAATGTCCTACCACACAGAAGGACCAGCTAGTTTCCTGTCTGCCGAAGGAGCTCACAATATATTGTCCCTAATATATAGAAAGATCAGTTTGTTTCTTTTCAATTGAAGGAGCTCACAATCCAATGTCCCTACCACATAGAAGGACCAGCTAGTTTCCTGTTCCCCAAAAGAGCTCATAATCCAATATCCCTACCACATAGGATCAGCTAGTTTCCTGTCCCCCAAAGAAGCTCACAATCTAATGTTCTCACTGCATAGAAGGACCGGCTAAATTCCTGTCCTCTGAAGGAACTGACAATCCTATGTCTCCACCAATGGGAGGACTAGCAATGAAAATGTGTCTCTACCCACCCTATCCTTCAGCTGTCTCCAACCATCCCAGCACCAGGGACTGCTGGCCTTTCGGAAGACAACCCCTCCACGGACCGAGTAGGGGGGGGGGGGGTGGGGGGTTGCGGCCTGATCCATGAAGGCCCCCTGAGACATGTTGGTCTCACTATCTCATGTACAGGGCTTGCCAATGCTCTATGATGATCCTGTCCCCAGCCCGGCTCTCCTCCCTTCCCTTTTCCTCATCTCTCCTCACTTTTTTCCTGCATTGCCAACGTGATCACAGAGACAGACAGAAGTAGTGGTGCTGGGAGAAGGAGAGTGGGTACCCTCCGGTAGTTGGAAGATGCCAGTGCAGGTTTTGCTGGCTCGCTCGACTGTTACCCTCCCCAAAGCATGGCCTGGCCCTCAACAGGCCGCAGACCAGCACTGGTTCAGGGGTTGGGGAGCTGTACTTCATACTGGCTAACAGCGTGGCCTAATCAGCCTATATAATTGAGACCCATTCTGGGTATTATTGGATAATGATCTTTTTTAGCGAAGGCAGGTGTCCAACAATTGGCACTTCGGGGGAAATCAGTGGGAAAGTTAAAAAAGTCATCCAAATCCTTATTCTTCTCCCCTGAGAAAAGTGGTGCCAACACCAACAGCTGCTTCTAATGTTGCACCATCCCTCCTTTCACCATCTCTGTGTTGACATATGCCAGCTACGCCAGCTAATATATCTTCTTTACATGTAGATAGCTCAGTGGAGTTGTTTATTTTTTGGCTTCCATTTTAAAGGGCTTCGTCTTTGGAGGAAAAGATGTTTAACCTCCTCATACAGACAGGGTTCTTTACGGTAAGAGCTGCGAAAAGAATTCTCATCCCCTTGCTCCACAGGAGCTAGTTCTAACCAATTCAGGAGATTGCCTAAAGAGGAGCTTCAGTTTCCCCACAAAAAAGTCATCAGCTACTGCTGCTGACTATTAATATAAGGACACTTATCAGTCCAGTGCTATCTTCACCTAAACCAGCGTTAGACTTGTGGCTACACAGCTAACTTCCCATCATGCATGCGCAAGCCGCCCTGTGCTTTGTGAATGTAGCTATCTGGGACCTGTGATGTGTCGTAGTTTTATGGGACCTGTGATGTGTCCCAGAAGACTGCAAGGAAAGATGGTGGGGGGTGAACTTCCACTTGGATCGCCTGGGTCAGGGGTATCAAACTGGTGGCCCTCCAGCTGTTGCAAAACTACAAGTCCCATCATGCCTCTGCCTTTGGGAGTCATGCTTGTAACTGTCAATCTTGCAATGCCTCATGGGACTTGTAGTTTGGCAACAGCTGGAGGGCTGCCAGTTTCACACCTGTGGCCTAAGTAATCCAAACAGATGTGGAAGCGGGTACCTGACAAAACCAGGTACCCTCCCCCCCCCAAAAAAAAAATATAAATGCCCAAAAGAGGGAGAGGAGGCAAAAAAGCTGAACTTCCCCTTTTGGGTGAAGTTCCATTTTAAAGGCCAAGTTTACCATTTGCACTTCCTGATTTTCATACCTTCCATTCTGTTCTTAGACAATGGCATCTGCCTTTCTATGGAAATTGGATCAACGTGTCTGTGCTACTTGTATGGAATCCTGGAATATTTTCCTGGCACTCATTACAACTGAAGATGTGGCTGGGAAAAGCTATGACACATCTTATAAATCGCAGAACAAGTGCAATGGAATTTGACCAATTATTAGACATGTGCACACCAGAAATTTTTGTTTCATTTCAGATGCATTCGTTCATTGAAGAATTTTGTTTCGTTAAGCTCATTATGTTGAACTGATTCATTTTCGGGATTCGTTTCGCATATTCGTAGGATCAGGTGGATTTGAAAAATGTTGCAGTTTTTCCGGAAGATTGCTATGCATTTGATATATTATTTAATCGGAAGGAATCCATATTTTCGGACACTAGCCCAACTCACCGAGACAAATGGTGTGAGCTGATTGGACAATATCAACTGGTGTTGTGTGTATCCGAATTAATGAATGGAACAAAATTCAGATCCATTTGTTATCCAAATTATCGTACGAATGATAAAATTTGAATTCATTTCCCCACGGCAGAACTACTATATTGCATCATGTGACGTCATCCAAATAAAACAAAGGCATTCTGTAATTTTGTTATAACCTTTTTTTTTTTTTATTAATTGATGTGCGTTACAATGTCCATTCCTAGATTCGTATACATCCGAATCTCCAAAAATGAAAATTTAGTTGATAAACGTAACAAAACAAAACACACGTGTCTACTAACTATTACTAGATACTCGGACAAGATTGTATTGGTGTGTTCCTTAACTTCTGTTGTGTCATGGTAGAGGAAGTGAGGGAACTTTTCTCCAACATGGATACAGACAGAAATATGATGTTTCTTTAGTAGAGTAGATAAGGATTGGGTCAGATTTTACTGCTATTTCAGATCCTTTCCACAACAATACCTCCTACACCAAAACCTAGGGGTGTACAACTGTATGCACTCAATTTGCAGAGAGTATCCAGCATAAGAAGAAAATGGATTCTCATCAACAGTCCTATTAGTCAACAAGACCACTGTATTATGGTGGAATATATGGCCAGCATAGCTGCTAAGAGGTTAACACTTCTGCCTGGCAGTACCAGGGTCGTTGGTTCAAATCCCAACCGTGGCACCACCTGCCCTGGAGTTTGCATGTTCTCCCTGTGCCTGAGTGGGTTTCCTCCGGGTACTCCGGTTTCCTCCCACACTCCAAAGACATGCTGGTAGGTTAACTGAATCCTGTCTAAATTGGCCCTACTATGTGTATGTATGAATGTGAGTTAGGGACCTTAGATCAGCCTTTCTCAACCAGGGTGCCTTGAGGTTTCATCAGGGGTGCCTTGGCAAAATGTCTAAAATTGCTCAAAACGTGTATACAAGCCAGCGGGTGAAACAAGCCTACCTTTTAGTTACACAAAGTCACAGGTTTTCATTGTGCACCATTACGACCATCTAGCCACCAGCATCCTGACAACCAATGACATCAATTGATAAGGAGGATGTCAGCTGCCTGCACAGCATCCTAGTTTGACCTTCCCCTCCCCTTCTCAGTCAGTGCTGGGGTCACATTAGCTCAGTGATGGAGAAAAACTGAGGGAGAAGAGAAACATTGGCACACTAGTCAGTACCAGTGTGCAAAAGTGTATTTGCTTTGGAAGAATAAATCACCTATAATGTTGGGTGTCCTACATGTGTGGATGTTGCTGCATTATATAAAACTATTAGAATAGTTTTTCACATCTTAGAATGGGGTGCCCTTTTAAAATTAAGGACAGTCTTGAGTCACCCCATTTTAGAATAGAGTGCTTCAAGACTGTCCATAATTTTAAAGGGTGCCTCGGGACTGTCCATAATTTTAAAGGGCACCTTGACTGAAAACAGGTTGAGAAACACTGCCTTAGATTGTACGTTCCTTGAGGGTTAGGGACTGACGTGAATGAACAATATATATGTAAAGCGCTGCATAAATTGATGGCGCTATATAAGACTTGTAAAAAAAATAAAATAAAATAGCAAGGATGTTTATTGACACACATGTGCACACTGTCCTTCATTAGGAGAGTGACAATGTTCTGTCTCTCCAATATAAGCATTGAAAGTGTGATCTCCTAGATTGTAAACTCGAAGGAGCAGGGCCCTCGAACCCCTCGTGTATCACATTGTATTGTTACTGTACTGTCGCATGTTCTGTCTCCCTTTGTAATGTACAGCGCTGAGCGAACTGTTGGTGCTTTCTAAATACTGTATAATATTAATAATAATCTCTGCAATTTACAGCTGTGATGAGATAGTGATAACTCCAATCTCAGTTGGATACCACAGTCAGTGACTCAATCGAGATGATATCTTGTAGATCTTGTGAAGTTTACTCCATAAACTGAGAGAATCTTACAACAATGAACATCAGATAGGTCAAAAGATCATAATGTGACCTGCTTCATGACATGAGACTAGAAGCTGCAATGCCTTACTGGAAAAAAGGGGTGGGCTATCTATACAGCATTAACTAAACCAAATGAAAGGGAGTAGCAGAAACAAAATACAGAGAACACTTAAAGGCATATGACAGTCATGTGAAACATGACAGACAACTACATGTTTAATTTTATACAATGAAGAAAACACATAAGCCCTCATGCGCATGGGGTGCTTTGATAACGCTAGCTGTGTAAAGTCACATTAAAGACGTGAGTTTTTCAGCTTTTTTAGCGTTTTTTGCATTAGCATTTAGCAGCGTTTTCACACGTTTTTCCGCGTTTGCGTTTGTTAGTGGTTTTTAGCTTCTTTTTACTAGAAAAAAAATTTGGAGGGTCACAAAAAGTCCAAAAATGCTGGTTTGCGACATTTTACTGTGTTTTGATGCTGCATTTTTCAGCGTTTGAGCGTTTTTACAGCTACAAAACTCCTAGAAACCCACTAGTCCTGGTTGTTTTCCAGCCAAAAAATGTTGATTACAGTCTATGTGCATGGACACATAGGATAACATGCTGGGGGGTTTACTAGCTGTAGAAAAAACGTCAAAAGGCAAAAACAGCCGCTGTAATACCGTCCAGTGTGCATAAGGACTAACTGGTTAACAGTTTTTTATAGACCTTACAAAAAGCTTGACAGAAGAACTAATCTGAACAGATTGCTGAAAATCGGAAGTCACATTGTACATAAATAGGCCAGGTACAGGAAAACCTTTGATGTATGCTACCAGATGGCCATAAAACATGAATACATTCCTCTATAGTTACCACAAGAGGTCTTGACAGGTTCATGACACAGGAGTGAACCATTCTAGAAGTATCTTGGATGATCAGATTCAATGTGTTGTCATTAGGTACCAGAATAACATCAAAAGATGTCAACAGCTTTGTTTTAGATAAAATATGGAGCAGAACAGCTGGAAGAAAATCATAAGGATTGTGTTATTTTTATATATTAACCACCTTCCCTCCACCCTATAGAAATACAGGGTGGCAGGGCTACACGAAATCACGTATACATACATGGTTTGCATTTCCGGGTAGGTGGCGCGTACGGGTGCCACCCTACCCGCGCCACTATTGGCGGCTAAAGATGTCAATCACCGGGTCCTGGCTGGCGATTCCCAGCCGGCACTTAGCAATCGGGGAGATTGACAGGGGAGAGACCTGTGTGTAAACAACACAGGTCTCTCTGCTGTCAGCAAGGACATGCTGCTGTGTGAAGAAAAAAATGTAGAAAAACACACACGGCACACAGTTAACGCTTTGATCGCCCCAGATGTTAACCCCTTCCTGCCCAGTGCCATTAGTACAGTGTCAGTGCTTTTTATTAGCACTGATCACTATATTAGTGTCACTGGGGATGTCAGTGACACCAAGTCAGTCCCCCCCCCCCGTGTCAGAATGCCCGCCGCAGTCCCGCTATAAGTCGCTGATAGCCGCCATTACTAGTAAAAAAAAAAAATTCCAGTATATATACCGCAATTGTAACTGCTATAACTGTCACGTAAGTCAACCTAAATTTATGACGAAATGTGATTTTTAAACATTTTTTTACTGGATGTGTTTAATAGCAAAAAGTCAAAAATATTGTTTTTTTTCTCAAAATTGTCAGTCTTTTTTTGTTTGTGAAGCACCAACACACCGACCCACAGTAAAAAACACTCCCACCACACAGTTAACCCTTTGATCGCCCCAGATGTTAACCCCTTCCTGCCCAGTGTCAGTACAGTGTCAGTGCTTTTTATTAGCACTGATCACTGTATTAGTGTCACTGGGGATGTCAGTGGCAGTTAGTTCCCACCCAGTGTCAGAATGCCCGCCGCAGTCCCGCTATAAATTGCTGATCGCTGCCATTAGTATTATAAATAAAAATTCCAGTATATATAGTATACCGCCATTTGTAGTCGCTATAACTTTCATGTAAACCAATTAATATACACTTATTGGGATTTTTTTGTGGCAAAGACATTTCGCAGTATACATTTTGGCCTAAATTTATGAAGGAATTGGATTTTTTAATTTTTTTTATTGGATATGTTTTATAGCAAAAAGTCAAAAACATATATATTTTTTTTTTCAAAATTGTTGGTCTTTTTTTGTTTATAGTGCAAAAAAATAACATACACAAAAGTAATCAAATACCACCGAAAAAAAGCTCTATTTGTGGGGGAAAAAAAGGACAGAAATTTAATTCTGACTGCTAGAAAATGTAGGTTAAAAAAGTCTGTTTAGCCACGTTTGCATACCACATTTATGAGTGTCTGCGTTTGGAAGCATTTTTTAAAGATAACCTCAGGAGACCTTCCAAACTGCCCAGAATGCACT